CATTGACCTCGCATCCCTACAAAGCCGGGACGGAGCACGCCGGGTTCTCACCGGACCAGGCTCTCACATCACCAAGCGCGAAGCGCCGTGAGATATTCGGCGAGTCGCATGAAGGGTGCGCTGCATCCTGTTTAGGGTGTTCGGCAGCTTGTGCTTACTTCCTTGCGTACGGATGAGAGCTGCGTATGACTTTATATATTTTCTGGTGCTTCCACTTCCTGAGACAGTTGTATCACTGTGTAACTTGCCTCGAGGGTGCTTGACCATTTTAACACAACGTGGTGCGATCATCCCCCTTGCGCGGAGTGAGGGTTCTCCACCCCGCACAACATGATCTACTCGACCACCATTATGGTTACCGCAAAAAAAACAGAGGTATAAAAATGAAACGGTAACCTGGTTGCCGAGTTCACGAAGTGAATTGGCGTGATTTACAACGTAGTTGCCAAGCAACGAAGACCCAACCCCGATGGCAAACACCGGGGCTACGGTCATGGGGGGGGGTTCTACTTCATTCGGACGCTTGCCTATGGGGGATTCACTTAGCTCGTGGGACGCCAGAGCCGTCTCGAAGGCGTCTGGCGAGTTCAGCATGAGGTCCACCGTACCCAGCAGGAAGTCCTCCGCCTCTTGATGCGCAGCGTGCTCCGCGCGCTCGGACAGCAACTCTCGCACCACCCTCGCCTGTAGCCCCTCCGCCACGTGAAGCAACGCCGAGAGCATCCAGCGGGTGAACTCCTCCGTGCTGCTGTCGGGCAGGCTCGCCACCGAGGCGAGCAGAGCTTCGGCACTTGTCAGCGACGGGGGCGACTCGTACCTCGGGTTTCGGCGAGGGTTCTCCCTAGTGCGGCGGCTGGTGAGTTCCACCGGCTTGTCGACGCGGGCGAGCCGCCGGGCCTCTGGCCCACGGAGCGCCGGGAGATCCGTCACGCTGTCACTGCCACTGCTGCTGTCGCTGCCGCTGTCATCGCCGCTGCTGCCGCCGCTGCTGCTGTCGCTGCCACTGCCGCAGCTACCGCGGCTGCTGCTGTCGCCGCCGCTGCCGCCGCTACCGCTGCTGCGGTGGTCGTCCTCGCCGCCGCCCACATCGGCTGTGCCGGTCGACGTGGTAGATGGGGCGACGCTCGCGCCCTCCCTGCTCGAGGGGGCGCCATCGCCAGCGTCGCCCGCGCCCGACTCCTGG